TGTCAAGAAGGATGTTGATATTGAAAGGAAGAGGGTCTATAATGATTCGTCACTAAATATCATAAGTGGGATCAGTATGGCAGATGAAGAGATTATTAAAAATATCAAGGATAGGATGACACCATCATGTTCAGATGTGAGTGTTTATTATAGGGCTGAAAATATCAATAAACGTAAAAATCCAATGAAAAGATTTTGGAGGCCGTTGACATTCTTATTTTATGGACCTGGTGGATCTGGAAAGACGAGATTAGTGAATAAGCTATTTTCTGATGAGATATATAGCAAATCTAATAATCAAAAGTCAGGAAAAAATTATTGAAATAAATACGATAAGCATGAAATCATATTGGTGGATGAATTCTATATCAAGATGAATTGGTTGGATATGGTAAATGTCTTGAATAATGCTTCTCTTGATGTGGAATATAAGTATTCAGGATTTTAACCATTTTTGGCAAAATATATATTTCTGACCAACATGAGGTCACCTCAAGAGGCATATAATTTTAAGATGAATGTGGATGATGATGATGGTAATAAGAAAGATTATCAACAATTTGATCGAAGGTTGGATTATGTGATTCAATTTTCAGGTCGATTTGAGGATAGAACAACTCAGGTTGTATTTGAGAAGTGTGATGAGGAAGCATTTTGAAATATGAGATGGGATTTGAAATATAATAAGGGATTCATGACGATCGAGGAATTAGTTGAAAAGGTGGAGAAGATTAATAAGAATGTCAAGGGTAAGATGATTAAGAAGAATATTGATGTATATTGGAGACGTCAATTTGAAGATCACAAGGTGGAATACTTGAAGAGATATCCTGATATTTCAAATTTTAATGTGAGTAGGTATTTAAAGAGATCAACAGATTATGATACGAATCTGGATGAACGTGAATCAAAGAGAGTGAGGATCGATGAATCGACGCCTGATAGTTTGATCATTGATATGATTGATTTTATTTATTTATTTTGAAATAAATAAATATGTATATACTTGTATTAAAAATTTAACAAATTCAAAAGTTTTAAATGTCTAAGATATATGAAAAAATATATAAATCAATTGAAAATTTAATTGACAAATGATTTAATCAGATTGAAAAATTTATTGAAAATCAAGAAGCTAAACGATTAAAAAATATAAATCAGAAATGTGAAACATATTTAAAATATTTATTTATAATTTTAATAATTTTTATTATTTTTATTATTTTTATATTT